ACCCTATAAACCCAAATTAAACCCTAACTAAACCCTATAAACCCTAACTAAACCCAAATTAAACCCTAAACCCTAAACCCTAAACCCTAAACCCTAAACCCTAAACCCTAAACCCTAAACCCTAAACCCTAAACCCTCAAGAAAGTGATAAATAGAAATTGCTTGTCCTTGTTTGTAACCACCGCTACGGCCCAACACAAAAGTTAAAAATTGAACAAGCTTCTTGATAAACCAGTTTCTCTGCAAACTTGTAACCACCGGTACGGCCCGGCCAACATTGAGCTGGAGCTCAAAAACGGAACAAGCTTCTTGATAAACCAATTTCTCTACAACCTTCAGCCCAGGCAACCCAGCCCACCAGCCAGTCCAAGCAGCCCGACCCAGCCTAGGCCGGCCCAGCCCAGCCAGGCAGCCCAGCCCAGCCCAGCCACAGCCCAGCCCAAACAAGAACTTTCTGTCAAAACGTTTCGTTCAAAAGTTTCGTCCAAAACGTTTCGTTCAAAACGTTTCGCTCAAAACGTTTTTGGCACCCAAGAGCCCCAGCCCCACAGCAAAATTGAAAACATGGTTCGCAAAAAAAACGTTTCGTCCAAAACGTTTCGTTCAAAACGTTTCGTTCAAAACGTTTCGGTCAAAACGTTTCGTTCAAAACGTTTCGCAGCCCCCCAAGAGATTTGGAAACATGGTTCGCAAAAAAAAAACTTTCGGTCAAAACGTTTCGGTCAAAACGTTTCGGCGAAACGTTTCGTTCAAAACGTTTCGTTCAAAACGTTTTTGGGACCCAAACCCTTAACAATTTCTATAAACCCTAAACCCTAAACCCTAAACCCTAAACCCTAAACCCTAAACCCTAAACCCTAAACCCTAAACCCTAAACCCTAAATTTAGACGGCCAGAGGCCGAAGGTGCGCCAGCGCAGGTTCTGGTTTGATGCCCAGCAGGTACGCAGGATTTAAGGCAAGCAACGGTCGACCACAGGGCAGTTTAAGTAAATTGACCGAGAGCCCAGCAAGCCCTCCGTACTAGTACTACAACTACTACTACCAAGCTGTGGGAAGGTGTTCTGGCCCCGGCCCTGGCTGCGGGAAGGTGCCCCTCCCCGGGCCCTGGCTGTGGGAAGGTGCCCCGGCCCCGGGAAGGTGCCCCGGCCTTGTGGCTGCGGAAAGCGGTGGGGGAAGGTGCCCCGGCCCCGGGCCCTGGCTGTGGGAAGGTGGTTTCCGGCCCCGGGCCCTGGCTGTGGGAAGGTGCCCCGGCCCCGGGCAACAAACCCCAGCAAACCCTCAACAATAAGAAAGCCTCAATTTAGTCTAGCCCGAACCAACAGAGAGCAATCGCGGAGCAGACAACGGGGCAGACGACGAGCTTGAAGGCTTATGCAACGGCCCACTAAAAGCAGTGAAACCACAAACACCCCCAAACCCCGGCAATCCCTCAACAATAAGAAAACTTCAATTTAACCTAGCCCGAACCAACAGAGAGCAATCGCGGAGCAGACGACAACTTTTGAGACTTAAGCAACGGCCCCCTTAAAGCAGTGAAACCACAAGAACCACCAAGACCCGGCAATCTCTTAACACTCACAGGGCTCTAAACCTAACTTAACCCGAACAAACAGAAAACAATCGAGAGGCAGACGCAAAACTTTAGGACTTAAGGACCAGCCCCCCTAAAGCAGAGCAAGCGTTCGTGGGAGATGCTCGGGGTGCCTGTGAGCGCAGTCCACAGCCCCGCCCCCGGGCCCTGGCTGTGGGAAGGTGCCCCGGCCCCGGGCCCTGGCTGTGGGAAGGTGCCCCGGCCCCGGGCCCTGGCTGTGGGAAGGTGCCCCGACCCGGGCAACAAACCCCAGCAATCCCTCAACAATAAGAAAGCCTCAATTTAGTCTAGCCCGAACCAACAGAGAGCAATCGCGGAGCAGACAACGGGGCAGACGACGAGCTTGAAGGCTTATGCAACGGCCCACTAAAAGCAGTGAAACCACAAGCACCCCCAAACCCCGGCAATCCCTCAACACTAACAAAGCCTCAATTTAGTCTAGCCCGAACCAACAGAGAGCAATCGCGGAGCAGACGACAACTTTTAAGGCTTAAGCAACGGCCCCCTCAAAGCAGTGAAACCACAAGAACCACCAAGACCCGGCAATCCTTTTACACTCACAGGGCTCTAAACCTAACTTAACCCGAACAAACAGAGCACAATCGCAGGGCACACGCAAAACTTTAGGACCTAAGGACCAGCCCCCCTAAAGCAGAGCAAGCCTTCGTGGGAGATGCTCGGGGCGCCTGTGAGCGCAGTCCACATGGACCCCCTTAAGGCAGAGAAAGCCTTCGGGTGAGATGCTCGCACTCGGACCCCTCCGCCTCCGAGCCCCAACCCACCTCGCACCCCTGAAACTTCGCGAGGGGGGACCCGGCCGCGCCAGAAAAAGTTCAAAGGTTTCGATCCCCAACCCGGAAAAAGTGCCGGAAAACATGATTGTCAAAAACCGCCGTTTTGACCAAACCCCAGCAAACCCTTAACATTAAAAAAGACTAAATTTAGTCTAGCCCGAACCAACAGAGAGCAATCGCGGAGCAAACAACGAGTTTTACGGTTTAAGCGTCAGCCCCCTTAAAAGAAAGGGATGCAGCTGCTGGCGCAGACACCAAAACGAGAAGACGTAATGAACACTTTTGCACTTTGCGCCGAACTTTTGCACTTTGCGCGGACCCCATACCCATAGGAAAGAGGAATTGCTTCAAAGGTTTGCACTTTGCGCCGATGAACACTTTTGCACTTTGCGCCGACCCCTAAGGAAAGGAAAATGCTTCAAAGTGCTCAAAAGCGGAATTGCTTAGGGCGCCAGCACTGCGCTGGCGAACCCTAAACCCTAAACCCTAAACCCTAAACCCTAAACCCTAAAACCCTAAACCCTAAACCCTAAACCCTAAACCCTAAACCCTAAACCCTAAACCCTAAACCCTAAACCCTAAACCCTAAACCCTAAACCTCTTTATCATATAGTAATTTAAACCTTAATGGTTTTCGTGGGATAAGGCCCAGGCTTCCGGACCAACCTTAATGGATTTCGTGGGATAAGGCCCAAGTCTTGACCAACCTTAATGGATTTCGTGGGATAAGGCCCAATTTCAGACCAACCTTAATGGAATTCGTGGGATAAGGCACAAACTACGGACCAACCTTAATGGAATTCGTGGGATAAGGCCCAAGTCCGGAGTTTGTGCCTTATCCCACGAATTCCATTAAGGCTGGTCAAGACTTGGGCCTTATCCCACGAAAGTTTGGGCCTTATCCCACGAAAACCATTAAGGTTGGTCAAGACTTGGGCCTTATCCCACGAAAGTTTGGGCCTTATCCCACGAAAACCATTAAGGTTGGTCAAGACTTGGCCTTATCCCACGAAAGTTTGGGCCTTATCCCACGAAAACCATTAAGGTTGGTCAAGACTTGGGCCTTATCCCACGAAATCCATTAAGGTTGGTCAAGACTTGGCCTTATCCCACGAAAGTTTGGGCCTTATCCCACCCACGAAAATGGTTGGTCAAGACTTGGGCCTTATCCCACGAAAGTTTGGGCCTTATCCCACGAAAACCATTAAGGTTGGTCAAGACTTGGGCCTTATCCCACGAATCCCATTAAGGTTGGTCAAGACTTGGGCCTTATCCCACGAATTGCATTAAGGTTGGTCTGGAATTGGGCCTTATCCCACGAAATTAAGGTTGGTCATTAATTAAGGTTGGTCTGGAATTGGGCCTTATCCCACGAATTCCATTAAGGTTGGTAAACTTTCGTGGGATAAGGCCCAAACTTTTCGCGGGATAAGGCCCAAACTTTCGTGGGATAAGGCCCAAACTTTTCGCGGGATAAGGCCCAAACTTTGGAAGGATCTAGGGTGGGTTGGGGACATTCGTGATTGAAGGATCTAGGGTGGGTTGGGGAGTTGCTTGAATTACACTGCACAAAGCTGGGAAGAACAGGGTCCGAGCACAAGGCGTATCGTTGGAGGTCGTGTGCAGGCAGGTGTCGAAGCAACCTTAAGCCGGGCAAAGGTTTGAAGGATCTAGGGTGGGTTGGGGAGTTGCAGCAGACAAAGCTTAGAAGCATCGAAAGAGTGGCCTGCGGAGCTGCTTGACACGTAGTTGCGCGCATAGTGTGCATAGAAGCTGCATCTCAGGAGGAAGCCGAGACATTGTCGCTGCATCTCAGGAGCAAGCCGAGAGATTGTCACGACCTGAGGGGCATATATATGAAACTGGAACATTTTGACGGCAGTTTGAGATGTCGAACAGTAAGCAAGAGGCTATGCACGGGTTTTCGCTCAGGCGTGGTTTGTATGGTTGCGACTTACGCGCAACCACTCGAAAACACTGTCATTCTTGTTGCGACTCCGCGCAGCCGGACTTAACATCGAAGCTGTACAAAAGTTGTGTCTAATTATCAGAGGCTGGCTCGAAGCTAGGTGTGCTTGACTCGTCCCGGAAGTTCTCGAAGTCGAAGCTGTTGGGGTCGTCCTCGGTGGTTTCGAAGGCATCCGTGCTGGGCTCATCTGTGCGACCGGATGTGTCAGGCTCATCACTGGTGAATCCATTAGTGCTGGGCTCGTCGTCTTCGAAGTCGGAGTCGTTGGGTTCTTCCTCGGATTCCTGGAAATCAGTGGCCGATCGACTGTCCTCCGTCTCGGTGGTGTCGCTGAGATGGGATGGCCGAAGCTGCTCGTTGTGGGTGCCTACGGCTCGCCAATCTGTGCGGCGGACCTTGCCGATGAGATAGACATCCGTTGCTTTTCTGGCGCGAGAGAGGCCGACGTAGGCATAGCCCTTGTCGGCCACACGTCTGTCGAACCAGAGGGCAATCTTGTTCAAAGTTGCCCCTTGCGCACGTCGGATAGTTGTGGCCCAACCGTAAGACACCGGCAAGTACTTCCGGCCACGGAGCGTGATTGGATGCACCAGAATGGGCACATTCTGACTGGACTTGAGTATGAAAACATCTTGTCGCAAGACAGATTGCACTTTACCAGTCGCTCCATTGACGAAGCCGCGATCCTTGTCGACGTTGTGCGTCAAACGAAGGCGCATACCTGGGCTGACGATGATGTGGTCGGCTTCAGCGGGTATTCCACGGCCTTGCTCTAATTGCAGAGCTTCGGAAGGATAGTCTCTTTTGATTGCAGGGTCCGCGTGAACTGTTGTAGGGTTGATTCTGCGTTGCCCGCGCGGGCGCCCTCAAACACGAAATTTTGGTATCTTCCAGCGGGCTTCGGGAGGGCCGCAAACAGACAGAGGAGCTCAAATGAGGTAGGCTCGTCCGGTCGAGGGCCCGCGGGGTGTGACAGAGTGATTCTGCGGAGGGCGTGGCTTTGATTCTGCGTGGTTGTTGCTTGGATGGCTGTGACCTCGTTTCGGAACGTATGTAAATCATGGAACTTCAAATGATGTAGAGTTCTTCACTTGAAGGCCGTTAATGATCGATGTAGTTGCATATCCAGCTAAGTTTGCATTGAGTATTTGTTTCGCTGGAGTTCGCACCGTGCTTAGGGATGTGCCTAGCTGCTTTGCAGAGGATGATGTGTGAGCACCACAAGTTCACTTTGTCGTCGAAAGCAGTCATCGTGGAAGCCATTGAAAATGCTTCGGATTTTCAAAAAAAAAGCGTTTTGCGACATGCCGAAGAAGAGCCTGGCGACATGTAAGCAGCGGCCTGGAGCATCCCATGGCCGAGGCCTGCCTCTGACCCCCTGGAGCAGCCCATGGCCGAGGCCTGCCTCTGACCCCCCAACAACGCGCGCGCGCACGCGCGCGCGAAAAGGTCTTTGGAGGCCTGGCGGTGAAGGGTTTCAGCTCAACGGTCATCGCAAAGAAACTTGATAGCTGTGGTTGCGCTATCGTAAAACGATGGCGTGACCGCAGCTTCAACTGTTGGAGGCAATGTTGTCAGGCAGTGGACACAGTCCGATGTGGAAACATTGAAAGACATGAAATCGAATTCGATAGCTGTTCTAGGTGAGGAGATTCAAGTCATGACACTTGACAGCTATGGTTGCTATCGTAAAGCGACACTTGACAGCTATGGTTGCTATCGTAAAGCGATGGCGTGACCGCAGCTTCGGCGGGTTAGGGCGATGTTGCGTTTCTTAACTAGCTCTCTTAGAAAGCTGGTCGGCAGCATTAACTCTTAAAGTGAAGCGTGTTGCAAGAACGACTGTAAAGAAACAGCACTTGCTTGATCGAAGCAGTGGAAAGTTACGATCTGTAATAGTTGTATGTAAGGTTTAGGGTTTAGAATTCAGCAGCTCCGCAACTTTAATCTTTCAGCTGGTTGTGTTGACACCATAAGCAAATTAGGGTTTAGCGACAACAGCAACTGGAAGCGTCTGAAGAGAATGTCGACGGAGACCGAACAACAACATTCTCGTGCTAACCTTCAACCAAGAAGTAGTGGAGTTTAGAGCCTAGGGTTTGACTATAACATCATAGTCATAGAGGTGTGTGAAGCTAAGTTGTAGATAGGTGCTTCGAAGGATGAAAAAACACCCTCTATTTTCTTAATGTTATGGGATTCTGAGGGTGGGTGGGTGTTATTCTTAAACCATAGACACAACACTACTTTAAAACTGCTCGACCCGAAGCTGCTGAACCCTAAACCCTAAACCCTAAACCCTAAACCCTAAACCCTAAACCCTAAACCCTAAACCCTAAACCCTAAACCCTAAACCCTAAACCCTAAACCCTAAACCCTAAACCCTAAACCCTAAAAACCCTAAACCCTAAACCCTAAACCCTAAATTTTAGAGGCTGCGCCTTGTATTGAACGGCCTTTAGCGGCGCAGCCGAGGTGCGCCAGCGCAGCAACTAGTTATGAAAGTTGGGAAGTGCTGGGACCAATGTGTGTGAATATACTTAACCTCTCGTTCGGTCTTGTGCATGTTAATTAACTTAAGCCCTGTTTGGAGTTATATATGTGAATTTATTCAACCCAGGTTGTTGGGGCTATGTATGTCAACTTACTTAAACCCTGCCTAAACCTGTATATGTCAATTAACTTAAACCCCGCCTACGGCTATGTATGTTAATCTACTTACAGCCCGCCTAAGGCCATATATGTCGACTTACATAAGCCCCGCTTGGGGCTATATATGTCCACTTACCTCAGTCTCGTCTGGCATATTTTTATATATGCAACCCCCATAACAAATATATATTTATATGTATATGTCAATTCACTTTATGCACACCTGGGGCTATATATGTCAGTTTACTTAATCACCGACTGGGCCTATATATGTCAATTACTGAAACCCCGCCTATGGCTATACATGTCATCTGACTTAAACCCCATCTGGGCCTGTGTATGTCAACTTATTACAACCCCACTTGGAAGGATGTATGTGAGCTTACTTTTTCTGCATCTGGGCCTATGTGTGTCAATGTAACTACATCCGCTTAAGACTATGCATATCAATTGACTTCAATGCCGTCTATATATGTGAACCCCGCTTGGGTCTATGTATGTCTGTTTACTCAAATCTCGTCTGGGTTTGCAGGCATGTCATTTGACTTCAGCTACGCCTGGGACTATGCATATAAATTCACTTAAACCCTGCCTGGACCTATGTATGTCTATTTAGTTGAAACCCCTCCTGTGACTATGTATGTTAATCTACTTAAACCCCACCTGGTATGTATGTGAATCAATTTTTGCACGTTCGTGCCTATGTATGATGTCAACTTGTTACACTCCGCCTAGGGCTTGTATGTCAATTTACTTAAATCCACGATTATACAGATATACAAACAGGTATGAATATAGACATAGATAGAGATACTAATATACAGATATAAATGCAGCTACATATACAAATCAAAATGAAGATATAAAGCCTCAGATAGAATACATGTATGCATAAACATATATACAGATGTGAATATTCAGATATATAAGCATATCGATACATAGATATATCGGCTTATAGGCGTATGTATATATATATATATATATCTGCTTATATACATTCATATATACATATTTGCAAACGAATAAGTAGATAGCTTTATAGAGATGTAGGTGTACAGGCATGTACATATGTATATGATATCGATATACAGATATATGGATATCGAAATAGATAAGAATACAGGTATACATAGAAATATATAAGAATACAAGTATACACATATATAGAAAATAAATATACCGGTAAACAGAGATATGATACATAGATACATAGATATATATAGATATATAGATATATAGATATATAGATATATGGATATGTATATATATATATATATATCTATAAGGTATACAGATATAAAGGTATATTGATATGTAGGTATTATCTAGAGATATACAGGTATGAGGATATATTGGTGTATAAATATATCGAAGTATAGAAATTTGCGTTTGTATATAGACACGTATAAAGATATAATGATACAGATAAATGTGTTTATACGAATATACATACTATGCTATTTAATTACTTAATCATACAGATGTAGACATAGACATAGATGTAGGCGTAATGTAGTATGTATGTATATATATATATATATATATATAGAATTGAATCCACATTCAGGTGTACATACACACATAGAAGTAGACATGGATATGGACATAGGTTTAGAGAAAGATATACATATAAATACATAAGACATTGCTATAAATAAAAAATTATTCGTCATATCTCCTGATTCAGATACATGCATAAAATAAATAAAGAAATGCAACAGATGTGGATAAAGAAGTGGATGTAAATAGGTACAGATGTGTACAATAATATATACATGTATATGCTGAGAACTGCGGTTTCTAGATAACTGGATTTAGACATAAACGAAAACTCTAGACACAAATTAAAATCAACATTTAACCAAATGTATACACACAAGCGCAAGTAAAACTAGAGACTTACATGTGGGCACAATTGAAAACAAGTGTTCAGAACAAAAGTACGCAGAAACACGCACATCTATATCTAGATGCATATGAAGATGTGAATATCGATACACATGTAAGCATGGATATACGTTTGGACTCAGGTTTGCATACGTGCACACAAACACAAAAAAGGTATACATCTGGGTATGGATATGGATAGAGACATAGATGCAGGAAGATGCAAGCCCTATTTTTGAAAAATATTCGTTTGTGTAACAGCAAACAGGGTGCATGTATGAAAGCTATTTCACCTGAAGACAATTCCGCCTCAGCCGGTGGCTTCCGCCCCCGGCCTCGGCGGGGTTTGGAAAATTGAAGAGCAACGGAAGGTCCAAATAAACTCAAATGAACATCTTGGAACGATGGGTAAGTGAAAAAACTTATCCGGAGGGGCGAAGTAAAATGAAGTGAACAGCCCTCGGAAGGATTTGCTTAAAAATTGAAATGACGCTTCGAGTCGCTCAAATCTGTATCCGATCCTATAGAAAGACGAAGTATGTCTGTAGACACCGGTGTAGATATAAATACGCACAAAAACACAAATACACAAGTATCAACTTTGGTATGGATGCGCATGTGTAAAAGTTTTCACATGTTGAAACACTTCCGCCTCGGCCGGTGGCTTCCGCCCCCGGCCTCGGCAGAAAAGGCTGGAGCTGCTGGTGCGGGCTGGGTCTGGGATTGGCTGGGACTGGGGGTTTGTTCGATTCTGTGTGTCCGTCCGTCACTCCGTCCCTCCATCCGCCTACCCGTCCGCTAGTCAGATAACGACGGAAGAGGAATGGGCCGGAGCCTGTCTGGGGCTGAGCTTGGGGTCTGGCTGGGGCTGCGGCTGGGGCTTTGGACGGCGGTAGGAGGGGCCCTTGCTTTGCGGGCTGGGTTGGCTGCGACTGGGAGTTGTCCGTTCGTCCGACCGTCCCTGCATCTGCGCGTCGCAGCCCCCTCTCCAAGACCTTTCTGTCCGTCTCTGTCCGCTAGTCGGGCCGGGGCTGGGCGGGCTGAGGCTTGGGGGCTGGCTGGAGCTGGGGCTGGGTCTTTGGACCCGAACGGACGGGAGGAACAAAAGGGTCCGGGACCCTGGAAATTGGGGCTGGCTCTGTCCGTGTCCGTACATCCGTCCTCTGTCTCTCCGTCC